CGTCTGAATCAAAAGAGTACTGTTATCAACATCTCCTAGCTCTTCCGTCTTTAGATACTGCTCCAAGGGATAGTTATCTTCTCCTGTCATAAGCTTGGTTTTTGTTTCCATGTGGCTGTTGGTCTGGCTTGGTGTTCACTTCCCTTTGGTTAAAGTAACCACGTCTATACAAGCTGCCAAGGTTTTATGTTGCTAGATTTCCATCTGCTTAGAGATGGAAAAGAACTGCCGGTTCTGAGTGTGCCTGTCCACTGGAAATCCAGCTCTAACCTCAGAGTGTTCCAGGTTAACCTATGTGACTCTGCCTCCCTTCCTCCCCGAGCAAACAGTGGGGGCTGTGGACTGTGACTGCAGTTTGGGGAGTCACCTGCGCACTGAGTGCATCAGTGTAAATAGGATGGGGAGACAAGAGCTGGAAGCCTTGGTGGCAGTGTCTGGTGTCTTGCATACCAGCTGCCATTTCTTGGATTGTCCTATCCTCCTCCTGGCCACCTTTCCCCAAACAGCTCAAAGTGTCATAAGTAGCAGCTATGAGAGGAGAGTCAAATATTTCTGCCTTACAAGGGCATTGTGTTTTTCAGTCCTTGTGTGAGCACGTAGCATAAATAGTCTATAAACTAAAGTGACTGGAAGGATCCAGTGCAAACCTGTTTCGTGGAAGCCAGGGCTGTTCCCCAATGGTGAGTGCCAGGGAAGACTCCTGCCAGGGAACCTTTGAAGATGTGTTAAGAAGGAATTCAGTGGCAAGTGAGGAATGCAATGGCAAGCCATTTACTCTGTCACTTGGAAGCCTAGGAAGAGTCTTCAAGGAGTGCATTAAGATATGTTTGTTTCTAAGAACAAAACTGAACCTCAGGTGCCCTGTGAATGTACTGCATAGTGCTTCTATGGGAACCATATCTAAAACCTGGTATACATTTTTTTAAGTTTTTTTTTTTTTTCCATGTCGGGGAGGGGGCATGAGTCCATACCCACAAGAGCTGAAATGTTATGTCAAATCCCATGGAGCTGGAGCTACATGCCCTTGTGAGCCACCCCTTTGGATGCTGAGAAACGGACTTTAGGCCTCTGGTAGAGCAGAAAGCTCTTTGAACACCGACCCCTCTCTCCAGTTTGAAATCTGATGATTCTTTTCAATTCTCTCAGCTCAGAGGCTGTGAATGTCTCAGAAGCTGCAAGGAAAGGGTCATAGTTAGAGTTACTGTTGCTGCAGTGAAACACCATGACCAAAGCAACTTGAGGAGGAAA